ACCACCGGCGTGATACGACTATGTATACGTATGACTCCGTCACTGCTCCAGACATATGGCCGCCCATTCGTTCGCCAAACTCACCCTGGCTGCGTCAGAAATCGTAACGTTCTTCCTAACGGAAGGTCTTCCAACAGGCGGCTTGCCCGGCGTTCCCCAGTGTTCTTGAGCGCACCTAGGTCGCCCCGTCCCCTCGATTCCCGATTGCACGCAAGTCCCAATTTTGGTGGGGGTGGCGCACCTGAGCCACATGGAGGGGGTGGCGTCGATTACTAGCCAATGAACGCTGAATATAATCCATCCTTCCCAAAAGCCTGTGAGGACTCAACCTGACTACAACTGTTTGCTCGCCGACGACGAGGAATCGAACTGGCCTGAGTAGAATGGTAACATCTTATCTGTAACATCCAGGCAACGGTCGGGTATGAGACTTCAGCCTTGGCCGGCACATCTGCGCCCCAATCAAAGAGCCAATCAAGCTGCAAAAACGCCCAGTGTGGTTCCAATCCTTATGATGCAAGTCTTTCGCCCAAGTAGGGTTTGCCTCCATCTTCCTTTCTTCAGTTCAGTCGTGCGGCCGAGATTGTTTGACTGTCTACTAGATCTCGGTTATTGGGCCGAGCTTGGTTTCTTTGCTCACTGAAGACGATTTCAGGAGATAGCGACCATTGATGCCTCAAACATTCGACCTGTAAATTTGTCGAACCGCCGCGCACTAAGACCATTGGTGAACGTTCCATAAATGATCCTATATTTAACTACTGTTTGAAGGGATGGCTAATTAGTTTGACCCTCTTATAGCGGTCTCTAAACAACTTGAGCTATCGTGAGAATCATGGAGTTTCTTCCCCATGAGAGGTGGTTCGTTCCGTATGCCACGGGGAGCATAAATTGACGTTTATCTGCCTTGGCAGATCCTCAAACTACCACGATTATAATATCGACTTGTACACCAACAATGGTGCCGTTCTCGAGGGTTTTTGCGCGTTGATTGTGCCCATCCAGAGTTTGGTTCGCATGCGTCGAACGCCTACGCATGACGACTTTATCCTTAGCACCTCACAAGATCTGATGAAGGATTGTCCCAAGAGCATATCGATTTCCTTTCATCCGTGATAGTACTACCTTTATACCAGCTATGTGAATCACACATCATTGAAATCTCCATCGTGAAGATGTGAGATTTGCACAAGCCTAACGTGGCATCTGAAGCATCCTTATGTCAATCGGGCAGTGCGAGTGCATGCGCAGCTCTCGACAGACGGCTCAGGGTCAATATCTTCAAACAACTAATATTAGGGTCCTACGTGTCTATCATCTATCACCATCATATTTTCTCTTTATCAGTGAAAGCCAGGCAGGCAATAGCCTGCGTCTTGAAATCTGTGTACTTTGAAACGTCATGGCCGCTCTTGCTTTGTCCACACCAGGCCTGTCGGTTATGTGTAGGACTCAAACAGGGATCCGAAAGCCCGTCTTCCGAAGGTCCTGGAAAACTCTGCCTGGGTCGTATTCCAACGAAATATTCCTCGTGAAGTGGACTGTTTCCTCGCCATAGTGCGAAATTGGCGTCTGATCAAGGCCGCTGTAGTTGAGGAACTCCCAGTCTTCTTGAAGTCCCTCCTCAACAGCAAACTCGTTGATGGCACGCTCAAGTTCGAGTAAGAGAGGCCAGATCAACTCCTGGTTCTCTGCAGTATCTACCGTGAGTGCTAGGAGCCACATGAGAGCCGGACCGTCTGCGACCACTCTCCCAAGGCCGAGGACGTTGCCACCTCGTTTGTCGCCATGGGCCACCATCGACTTGGTCACAGGCTGGAATTGAGTGAGAAGCTCGAAGTCGGAGGCTGGAGCTGCGAGCTTCATTCTCTCCGTGTATTTAGGCACGATACCAAGGACAAAGTCCATAACAGCGGCGCTGTGCGAGGTCATGCCTGTCCTCCAATTGGCGCTGTGTCATGGTCAGCCATGTTGCCCCTTCGGTGAACTTCGATACGAGACGTACTAGAGTCCTAGGGGAGTTGGTCCGG